AAATTATTCAACAATTGATTCTCTTCTGTGTGGCGTGTTTATGAGACTGCCATGACACATGAATGTGCATTGCTCTGCTTGTAAACAAAGCGCAGCGCATCCAGGTTCTATGTCAAAACGCCGACTCTAGCATCAGCAGCACCACACGCATTGGTGAACGTGCAAAGGGAAGAAATTGTTGAGAAGTTGTTATTTTTGTTTTCTTTGTGCACAAAAAGTATTCGTGTAGCTTCATAACATTAAAGTTAAACCGCTGATGTCACATTGACTATTTTAATGATGTCCTAACAACCTTACCAAGTAATATTAATGATATTGTTCCACTGTGTTGTTATCGTTATAGTTGTGCTGTCGACTTAGCTATTCTTTTACAGTTAGAATGATTTTAGAAAAAAGTAGAATGACAACACCCTAGAACTGTGGTGGTGAGTTGTGTACTGCTAATCACCAATTTTTTTTTTTTCTCAGAAATGTATGACTCTACATTCCCTTCAGAACGAAAGTAACATTAATCCTCTGCGTCTTCAGCGGCTCAGATGTCGGGAGTAAATTACGTCTGCTATATTCATTATTACACCCAACAACAAAACACCTCAATCGGAGACATTCTTGTCTTCCCCTGCACCGGAGTCGACCATAGACTGTAAAAAACATGGACGTAGTGTCCGTGACGTCACCCGTAGGTTTCTAAAGAGCGTTTTTGAAGCTCAAAGTGGGCGGAGCCGGTGTGGTGACAAATCGAGTCCCCCCTTGAAATCCGGTCTCCATTAGGTCCCCAAGCGATCCCATTGGCTCAAATTACATTTAATAGGTACTCTCTTTAGCGCCTGATTACAATTCCTACAAAATCGTGTTATGATAAATGCTGTTTTAACTACGTTATAATGACCATTAATGTCTGTATTAGTTAGCTTATGTGCTAGCATAGCATACATATACCCGATTAGCCTGATAACTTAGTTTATAAAGGAATTTGCACTTATCCTTCATGTATTCACACTTATTTTTATTTTAATTATGTGTTAAATTAAGTGTTAAATGTCCAAAGTTTTATTTTATAAATAAAACTAATTAATGATGTTCAATTATTCACTTAATAGAGTACCGGTATTATTAGTTTTATTTATTAATTAGCAGGAAATCAAGTGTAAGGGATTACGTTTAATTTGTTTCATTATGCACTAATTTGCTCTATTATGGACTATATAGTAAGCCATACGTTTTTAGATTAATATTGTTCACATGTATTTAGGATAATAATTAACTGATAGTTGATGGAGACCCGATTTCCAGGGAGGACCCGATTTATCATGACACCGGTCGTCGCCATCTTGGCAGCGCGTCACCGCGCGTCACTCCCGGATAATCAAAAATGGATATAATACAAAGAATAGTGTTATAAATGTACATACATTTAAAAAAAAATACAAATATGAAAAACTTTCGAGGATTTATGATGCTGATGACCGTTAAAACGCGTCATCACAGTCTTGTGAAAAGGGTCCATGACAGCTGGTGACAGCTTACTCAGGGCGGGTCTAAGGTAAGAAGAAAAAAAAGAAAAGAAAAAAAAAGATGCTATGTGTCAATCAACTATCGTGGGAGGGGCCTGTGCAGAACTACAACATTCTGACAGGAATCTCAGAACAGCCTGATTTGAGAAAGGGGTTTTTAAAATAGGGATTTAAAAAAAAACACTGGGTGGATTTTTATCATTATAGGATGGATGTGTACACACACTTTCAACACACATTTATGTTCAAACAACTTGTAAAGTGAATTTTGCATCCCATGACCCCTTTAATGCATCCTGCTATATAAAAGTATGAATAAAAATGCTGAGTCTAATTTCCCAATCTACACTTTTTGTCCAAATTGCATTACTTCAGTAATTCATATACATGTTTTTTTTTTATTTTTTAACCACTATACACTTTGACCTGGAAAAATAGCACATTAGTGCCAGGACAGTAACTGTAAACCTCTTTAACCAGTGACTTCCCCTTAGGTGTTTTTTATGTCCCCTCTGCTTTTGTCCTGTTCATTTCAACTCATGCATGCATGCAAGCACACAGACCTGTACACACACTCACAAATGCAGCTGGACAGACAGTTCACTCTAATTACACGCGGGCCCCTTGGACTCGCATCTGAATTTCTGGTGCCAGGAAGACAGGTTCGGGAGGTGTCAGTCACCTAGGGAATAGACACAGCACTTGTCTGTAGATCAAACACATTCAAATGCATCCTATATTTATATATAGCTCAACCAGGGCATATAGAGTGCTGTTTTCCTCTGACTGAATCCAAAATGAATCAAGTCAATTTGAATTTTATGAATGTAGCTAGTTGGAAGAATGAAACTCATTCTCATATTAAACACAAAAAATGCAGATCTTTTAATATGTAACTGCAGGTTCAAACAAGACCTGTTTTATCTTGCTGCACAATTCACTTATGATACAAAGTCAAAGAAAATTTCTATCTGCTGTACATTTAATTAAAATCTAAGACATTTATTAACTTTTTTTGCAGGCCCTTTGTTTTCCAGCTGAAAACAATCTGCTAATGACAGAAACGGGATGCACACAGTAAGTTTGTTTCACTTTTAAATCCTTTCTAAAATCCTTTTAAAATCTTACACTATAATGGTTGTCATAATCCCTCTTATTTTTAGGTGCATTTAATGGTTACTGCATACTTCCTTAAGGTATTTAAACATCTTCAGGAGTTTGAGCCAGCATCCCTTAAATGTCCTGGGAACAGGACGAGCAATTTACTGTTAGAGGAACCAAAGCACCATTTAAGGACTTTCATAGTCTGATATATCGTGAGCGATTGAGAGGCGGTATTCTTGTTCATTTGGAAAGTTTTCAAAAGGCTAGAAGATAGAAATAACACAAATCCAACATATCTCCAGGCTGTGGATTTAGCATTCAGCTTGGATTCAGTGGATTTATTGGGATAGCAAGCCTGGTGATGTCTTTTTCACAGACACGGAGGCTTTACGTTGATTGATTATTTTCAACCTAGAATTTTACATATTTTTCCTGCATGCAAAAATCGGCTACATGATACTAAAATGTGGGTAGTTGCTAGGGTGTTGCTATGCGGTTGCTAGATATATGGCTTGTTAACTGAGGGGTGTTACAGAGTATTTGTTAAATATAGCTAACGAAATATATATTGTGTGTTTGATTGGTCCAGACGCTACATCGCGCTTCGTAAACATAAAACCATGTCTCCATCTGTGATCGGAGAAACAACAAACAACAACCCTACTCTACACTGCCCAAAACTTGCGTTTGAATCATCAGTGGCAAATTATTTAAATATAAAAAACGTACTTACAGGCTGTGAGTCAGAAGCGCCAGACTGTCCTTG